CGCTGTTTTTGTTTATTTCGCTGTAACTCTTTTTGTGAAATTATTTTTCATAATTTTTTTTTGTTCATACTAGCTAAACCACTTGTTATTTTTTATCTATATTTTTGTTTACTTTTAGATTCAAGTAAGTATTTTCTATTTATTTCTATAACTTTTCAGATTATAATGTACTATTTTCCGTTGAATTTCTATTCTATAATGTCTAATAGGGTGTTTCAAAACAAATGCGAAAAACTTTAGGGGGTGATTCCTTGTTCAAAATAAAGGGTAGTTTGCTTTATAAACGTTGGGTCAAAAGTCAACCATTAGGGAGATATCGCGGTACAAAGATGGCGGAAAAATAATGTTTTTATTTTTTATCTTGAAAACAAAAAGAGATAGACTAATGAAATTTTATGGAAGCATTACTGTTATGAAAACACACTTTCTGGTATTTTTTTCACTTTTTTAAAATGAGTGGAAGGGGTTGAAATAAACTACCCCTATCATTCTTGTTAACGAAATTTAAAGAAAAATCTTATCAAACACATGCAAAAAAACTAATTTGGATAGTTCAGTTTGTTTAGAAGCTTTTTTATCTCTTGTGTTTTTTTGATAAAACTCACCGATTTGAAATTAAAAAATAAAATGTAAAGCATTACATGTCAATGACATGTCATGACAAAAAACATTTTTAGATTAAGAATCTAGTGATAATAACGATAATAATAATCATCTAGATAATAACGTGTTGCAGTAGAGTAATGTCAAATAAAATAATATTAGGAACATCCTAAAAAGTAACAGCGGCCGACTAGATTTTTTCCTAAAAAAATTACAGCAGCCCACTAGATTCTTTATCAGAAAATGTTTTTTGTGCTTTTATTTATTGTTATTGATTAGTTTTCTAGTGAAATACCTTATCCACGACTGCTCCCCGATGAAAAGCTGCCGTTCGCAGTGGTAATTTTTTATAAAACACTACACTGCGTCAATGATGGCTATATGATATGAAGATCGCTGTCATTTATATGTAAAATTTTATTTAGAGGTCATTGTTAGAAACACTTGAAAAATCACAATCAGAAACGTCCTGTATACACACCTTTCCGGAATATATCTCCAGAGAATTGAACGTTTTCCAAACACTCGATTTCTTTTCTGAATATTCTCTGCCAACAAACAGCACTGTATATAAAAGTTCTTTCGGGAAGACATAATAAAGCAGCCTGGCACGGGAAACTTCAACAAAGTCGTTGAAGAAGTGTTCCAAACACCGATTCCCATATTGTTCCCGGCACGGTCGATCGACCCCTTCGCAGCTGAAAGACGGGCCAGTCTCGACTTGATTTCTCGATTCAGCACTTTTAGCGAAAAAGGATTGGTTTCATCCCACCGTAGCAAAGAGGACTATTAAAGTCTAAAAAATCTCTATTAGCATAACTAATGTGACGCTTATAATAATAACACAACTAATGCTTTGATGAATATAAAAGTGCGTCGGGATTCTGTAGCTCTTAATAAAAAAAAATAAGAATTTTGTTTAAGTGCAGACCTAAATTATGTACCAGAATGTATTTCAGAATTTTTTTTTTAACTTCTGCGGGGTCAAAAAAGTGTGGCTCAATTTTTTTTTAAATGGAACATCCTGTATATTATTGCATTTTTGGCTTCCTTTCACATCATCTTACATAATAAAAAAAGTCTATACCTATGTGGCGGATTCATCTATCCAAAAAATTCCTTATGGGTTTTTCGCCACTGCACTGCAAGAAAAATCTACAAAATAAAATTGTTATTGTTTGTAAACACTTCTGCGTTAAACCTAAACGGACGCTGCTTGTCAGAAGTTGTGTTTACAGTAATAAAAATTTGCCTAACAAAGAAAAAAATGCTTAACGTTTCGGAAAGTTTTCTCTTTCCGTCGTCGGAAGCAAAAAAATATAAAGAATCAAGAAAAAACTATTTAAAATATTTAAATTAAACTATTCGAGAACACTTTACTTTTTAAAACAGATACGTCTACAAGAAATCGTTGACGTTCTGTTAAAATGACATTATATTAAGTTAAACTTCAAAATTAACAATTACTACCTGATAATTACTTAATAAGGTAAAACGTAAAAAAGCCCAAACTTTCTGTATGATTATTTTTAAATTTTACGTATGTTATGTTTATTTATGTAATGTTCTTTAAAATCAAAGAAGCGATTGCCATACATTACTAACATCTACAGATGCATGAGCAATACATTTATTTTTATTAGATTGTATTAAAAAAGCCTCTTTTATTTTTCTTTTAGAGGCTATCGCTTCTTTCATTATAATTTTGGCGTTATTAAAATTTATTCTGTGCCCTGTATCCCATGAATGGTTTTTTATAAGGTGTTATAAAAAGTTTATATGATAGGGCAAAAATAATATGTACAGACGACATTTCACTAAACAAAGATATAAACCACATAAAAAATACGTTAATAAAAAACGACTATTCACCATATTTTATTGACAAAACATTAAACGAAATACAAACCCCAAATCATAGACACAAAGATAACAATACACAATATATACAACTTACAATTCCATACATACGAGGCGTTCCGGAAAAAATAAGAAGGATAGGAAAACAATATAACATACAAACATCTTTCAAAACACAAAATACACTTAGATCAATTTTATCACATACTAAACCAACGAATACAGAACAACAAACAAAAAATGTAATATACCAAATACCCTGTGAATGCGATAAATTTTACATTGGTGAAACATCTAGACCCTTAAATGTTAGAATTAAAGAACATAAAGATTATTTAAGAAAGGGAGATTTTCACAAATCTAAGATTTGTCAGCATTCATGGGACACAGGGCACAGAATAAATTTTAATAACGCCAAAATTATAATGAAAGAAGCGATAGCCTCTATAAGAAAAATAAAAGAGGCTTTTTTAATTCAATCTAATAAAAATAAATGTATTGCTCATGCATCTGTAGATGTTAGTAATGTATGGCAATCGCTTCTTTGATTTTAAAGAAGATTACATAAATAAACATAACATACGTGAAATTTAAAAATAATCATACAGAAAGTTTGGGCTTTTTGGTTTTACCTTATTAAGTAATTATCAGGTAGTAATTGTTAATTTTGAAGTTTAACTTAATATAATGTCTTTTTAACAGAACGTCAACGATTTCTTGTAGACGTATCTGTTTTAAAAAGTAAAGTGTTCTCGAATAGTTCAATTTAAATATTTTAAATAGTTTTTTTTTCTTGTTTCTTTATATTTTTTTGCTTCCGACGACGGAAAGAGAAAACTTTCCGAAACGTTAAGCATTTTTTTCTTTGTTAGGCAAATTTTTATTACTGTAAACACAACTTCTGACAAGCAGCGTCCGTTTAGGTTTAACGCAGAAGTGTTTACAAAAAATAACTATTTTATTTTGTAGATTTTCCTTGCAGTGCAGTGGCGAAAAACCTATAAGGATTTTTTTGGATACCTTACATAATGGTTCACATCACATTACATAACGTGGTTCATGCTGAAGGACAAGTTTAAAGGTCCCTGGAAACATCCATCCCAGATCAGGCCATTGGCACCAATTGGACGTAATCGTTCGAAGGACGCATCTAAAAGATGTCAGTCTCACAAAAGCCAGAGTAGATGCCGAATGTGGCACTGACCACCGACTTTTAATTTCAAAAATGAAAATCCAGTTAAAACCCAAACATCCACACTGCAAAAAGCAAAACAACATGACCAGATTGAACGTACGGGGTCTAGAGAACAACGATACCGCCGTCGCCCTCCGTCTCCGGGAAGCCATCAAAGAATCACTTCCACCGATAACTTCAATCTCAATCGTGGATGCTGAACAAGGCTGGACACAACTAAGAGATGCGATTTATAAAACCAGCGAAGCAGTACTGGGAAAATCCAACAAAAAGAAACAACCAGACTGCTTTAACGAAAATCAACGGCATATACAGGCTTTGTTGGAACAAAAGCATAGAGCACATCAAGCCGTCACTGCAAATCCACACAATCCAATAAGACTAGCAGACAACTTTAAAGCAGCCAACGGCACGCTCCGAAGAAACCTGCGCCAACTAAAGGATAACTGGCTAGTCACACAAAGCTAGTCAGATTCAAGAGTATGCCACGCATCACGACTATCGTAAATTCTTCGAGGTTGTAAAAGAAGTATACGGCCCAACTAAGAAGGCAAGATGCCCAATCATGGCACAAAATGGCGAACTTCTAAAAGACGAAGAGCAAATCAGAAACCGCTGGAAAGAGCATTACAGCCATATCCTTAACCAAGACAACAACCCCAATATAGAAGCACTCAACATAATACCTCAGTATAACAGCCTCGATGTATTAGACATTCCAATAACAGAACAGGAAATAAAGGACTCCATAATACAGCTTAAAAATAACAAATCAGCTGGCTGTGACGCGATTCCGGCGGAAATCTATAAGTGTGCAAGTAAAGAACTTATTGGTCATCTTAAGGCTCTCTTCGATGTCATATGGGATAGCGGAAAGGGACCTCAGGACTTTTGCAACGCGAATATAGTGAATATATTTAAGAACAAAGGAAGTGCATCAAACTGCGGAAACTACCAAGAAATTTCAGTACTGGCTATCGGAAGAAAATTTTTTGGAAAAATTATGTCAAACCACCTGCACCCACATATAGAAAAAATCCTCCCAGAATCGCAAACGGGTTTTCGCACCAACCACGGTACCGTCGATTTCATATTCTCCATCCGCCAACTACAGGAAAAATTAAAAGAGCAGCAGTCTAAACTTTACGTTGCATTCATCGATCTTTCTTTTTTTTTTACCGATATCATTTTGTATAACAAGTAAGTATTTTAAATAATTTAATTTGTGAAATGGTTACCCACCGCACTTCCAATTAAATTATTTTTGATACTTTAATGGTGGGCAACTAAACATACACCCAGGATTTTAACAGATGGATCTGTCACCAATGTCAACTTCTGTAATCTGAATCCTGAATCTGTGGCTGTTTGTGGTTAAAAATCAGCTGATAATGAAAAATAATGAAAATTATTATTTATTTCTTTTTTATTTTTAACTTGTAAATGCATAAGTTAAAACTGAAGACTGAAATAAAGAATGCTTCCATCGTCAAGTTATCAACCGAACTATTTCTCCATTGAAGATATTCTAGCCACCCAAGAACGAACACCATGCAAATTTCTCCAAGACGTCCCAAGAATGGGTATTTATTATTTAATAAATAAAATGTATTACCAAATTTACGTACCATTTTTATTATTATTCAGGTAAACTAAACCCGTCAGCTGAAGAAAAAGATTTAAAAGTCGGCACAGAGCTTGAACTTCCCTTATGGCTGGTACTAGACGGTGCAGCCGGTCGACAGCTAATCCTAGCCCCAGAATTACCGAAAATCTACCGGGAAGCTTACAGGGAAATCCTGAAAGCCGACGCCACGGCGATTGATTTACACAAATTCAATTTATACTTTTATGAACTGGGGTCCTACATAAAGCACTTCGATAGGAGAGGGGACGTACATAATATATTACTACACGTATGTATATGAATTTTATTTTAATTAATGATAATTACATAATGAATTTGTTATATTATTTTAGACATTCACAACAAGATTTAGACTCATCATGGACCTAGCAAATAATGCTGATTCTGACCCAACTATTCAAAATAAACTGGATACTTTAGAGAGAAGATTATTCAAAGATGGCCATAATGCCAGGATGAAACTAAATACATGGCTACTCGAGTCAGGGATTCCACTAAAAGCAGCCAGTATGGTTGATAATCATAGAAAAAGGAAACGAGTCAATGAAGAACTTGTTTGAATGTATTTTTTAATCATATAAGTATTTTATATCCTTTTTTTATTTTTTTTTATTTAAGGGAAATACATTTGTCAAAAATAAAAAAAAAAGAATAAAATTTTATAATAGAATATATTTTTAATCGTGTATAAAAATATAACAATATACATATATATTATAACATTAAGTGCCTACAATATCATCTCTCATCAAAGAGGGCTATCATTTGGAATGTATACAAAACAATCTTTCATTACTAGGAGTTGATATTGAATTACTAGGAGTTGATGTTGAACAAATCACCTATCAATAAAAGATGCTGCTGATTACCTACAATATCAACTCTCATTAATGAGAAAATGATATTGAATGCTTACAATATCATCCCTCATTAGAGATGCTACTGAATGCCTACAATATCATCTTTCATTAAAGAGAGATAATACTGAATTCCTATAATATCAACCCCATTACAGAGATAAATTACATTGAATGCTTACAATATCTCATTAAGAAAGATTAAGATGATTACAGCGAGATAATAGTAAATACCTACAATATCATCTCTTATTACAGAAAGATAATACTGAATGCCTATATCATCTCTCATGAAAAGATAAATTATACTGAATGCCTACAATATCTCATTAACAATGATATATTCACTAAGATATGGAGCCATTTAATATCACCCCTCATTAATGAGAAATGATATTGAATGCCTACAATATCACCTCTCATTAAGAGAAGATATCGAATACCTACAATATAATCTCTCAGATTAATCTAAAAAAGTTGCCAATACAAATACTGCTTGTGAGTAAATATATAATACCTAAAATACCAAACTTATGAGCATTCAATAAAGCTGAATACTGATTTTAGAAACAAACATACATATATCAATTCCCTAAAATTCTTACAACATTAATATAATGTACTTTACATAAGTATACCTAAATCTCCTAAATAGGTATTCGAATTCACATGGATTACTAGGTAATCCAAATATTTATAATATAATAATATTTTATCCGTAACAAACTAAATTTAAAAAATTAGAAATACATAAAAATCTTAAGTAGGGATTTTGAAACAGATAAAAAGTTATATTATTCTAAAGGTGTAAATTACTATGTCTAATAAAATAAATAATCCTATATACAGAGTGTTCAAAAAATGTACTGTCAAATGTTGGAAGGTGATTCATCCTCATCAAAAAAATATGGAAAAAAGATCCTACTAAACATGGCTCAGAGCAATGCATAGTTTTAAATATAATTTTTTTTTGAACATTACCTGCTGAAGCAAGACCTCATATTTTTTGAACACCCTGTAATTAAACTAACCTATTTTAAACACAATCTTCCAGGGACATCAGCAAGGGATTCACATACTCAAACCCTTCAAACTCTGACTGATCAATTTTTTCAATTACTCGTGGATCATCTGGAGTAAGATGTACCGGTTCATCTGTAAATTCTGGAGGGAAGTTAGCCAGATCTCTGTCAGAGTCCAAACGGGGCTTATATGGTGGAGGTACCTGTTTTTGCTCCAGTGCATCCCAATCGATGCTCTTGAAAAACTGATGCCCTGTTATATCAATAAAGGAATCCGTACTGTGACACCCTAACCTATCTGCTGGGTTTTTGTTCAGGAAACCTTTCAAAACGTTTGCGGCTTTCACACTGAGAGATCTCGGAATACGGATTGTTTTTTCTAAGATAACTTGGAACAGGTAATCTTCAGTGTTTTGATCAGGATTTTCTGAGGCTCCTGCTATGTCAAATGGCGATCTTCCAGCTAACATTTCATACAATAAAACACCTAAAGCCCACCAATCTACTGAAAAACCATAATCTTCACCTCTTAGAATTTCTGGAGCTATATAATTTGGGGTTCCACAGAAAGTCGAAGTGGTATCACCAGAACGAATACCTTCCTTACACATACCATAATCTGTCAATTTTATATGACCCTCGTGATCTAGCAAAACATTATCCAACTTTAAGTCCCTATAAATGATTCCTTTACAATGCAGGAAATTCAGTGCCAGAGATATCTCAGCAGCATAAAACCTGGCGTGTTCTTCAGGCAACTTCCTTTGTCGCTGCATGTGGAACATCAAATCGCCCCCTCTTACAAATTCTATTACGAAAAACAGTCTTGAAGGTGTCTGGAAGCACGAATGTAACCCTACAAGGAAAGGATGATTCGAGGCCGTTTCAAAAACATGTTTTTCTGTTTGGACCCAATCAATGTCTTCGTCATCAGTGACTAGAGCCTTTTTAATGACCTTCATTGCATAGATTCTTTTAGTTTTCTTCAGTTCTACCATCAAAACCTTTGCATACGAACCTCTTCCAATTACTCTAATCAGTTCAAAATCGATTAAAGAGTATTGACGTTGGGAACCTGGTTCTAAGTCGTCCAGCGGCTTGTTTGGGTCTTCAACTGGAACAGCTTCACCCGTAACATCTGGGGATGTATCACTGTATTCTATCACACTACTCTGAATACTTTCGTTTGTAGATGTTGTAACAGGCACAGGCATTTCTCCATTTCTATCATCACGTGAAACGGACTCAAGAATGTGGTCACTAGTACAAGCTACATTAACTGCTTTGTGACACTTTTTGTGTACTAATAATTTACATTGAATACATTTGAAACCTTGTCGGCCCAAACCCCAGATTCTATCATGACAGTAAGCGCAAAACGCTTTTCTATTGAATCTTTTAGCTTGGAAAATGTGTCCATTTACTCTGTACAACTTCCTCCATCTTCTTGCACCTCTACGATAGATACTTCGGTCCTCTCCTTGACAAGGCATTCCTGGTTGTGGTGGAGCGTTAGGAAACACATGAACTGTTATCTCCGAGTCTTTGTTGATTTCATATAATCTAATGGCCTCATTCAATTCTAACTGTGTGGAAATAGTGCACGGGTCCCCTTCTTCATCTACCCACTTCATGGTGAAGATTTGGTCCTGTGAAAATCGGCATATTTCCCGAATTTCTTCGCACAAATCTTCGTAGGTGATCGTCCGATCTATGTAGGTTATAAGGACTTCGCCACTGTACGCTATTTTCGCTCTGATTTCGTTGTTGCTATTGTCGTCGGCTAACTGAGTAGGCATCTTTGTTAAATATATACGCGAAAAAAGCACTAAAAACTTGTAAATTAAACGGAAATATGGAAAATTTTCAAACAGTTCTAAAAGAAAATAGTCCAAAATAAAATGACAAATGACGAAATGACTCAACGCCTCCGTCTATGACTCACGCCCTCTTTTTACAAACCAATATTATTACTCCCATTCTCTAAGAGTATATCTTTCTTGCTCTATTCCCGTATATTGAAAAGAAACATCTTATAATATGAGAAAAGTTACCCTGTACTTGTTTATTTGTGTTGTTGTCTTTGTCTAATAAATAACCATAGATCATAGATTGTAATTTGATCTCTCTTCTTTTGATTATTTTTTTCAGGACACTGGCTTAATGAGCTGTATAAGTTGAAGCCATTTAAAAATATAGAAGAAGAAAGTTTATGTTGAGTCTATGGTTGCTGGTTTATGTTGAATCTATGGTATCTAAAGTATAGAAAAGAAGAAGAACATTACTTTTATTCCGTGGTTACTGTTCTCTTAAGTCCTGTAATACAAAAAGGAAGAAGAATGCAGGTGGCGCTATTATGGAAAAAGTGTGAAAATTTTGAACTAAAGTGATGCCAAGTCAGAGATATAGAGATTTAATTTAACCTAGAATTTTTTGATTAACTGTGGGCATGCTGAAGATTGAATTTAATTAAATGAAAACCACAAGAAAAAGATTCAAAAATGTATTAAAATGAAAATGCACGATGGAAAAGAACATGATAGCGATAATGAAAGCGGAAGTGACACCTGTGATATTAGTGAAGTAAACGAAAGTTTATCTAACTGTGAACATGTCCATGTTCAGCCAGTAGGTTCGCAATATATCCTGCATATATCAGCTACCAGGTAAGCCAGACGATTTAAAACAATAATTTCAATAGTACGAATAACGAATTTTAGAGAAGTATATCCTTACATAGCAGCAGCTTTGTCCGATCATTCAACCGATGTGTTCTGCACAAATGAGAGTGGCCTGGAAAAAATTACTCGACTTTCAGAGCACACAAAAAGACTGGTCGATTGTAAGTTTGTTGATCACAGTAATAATTTGCTTTATACTGCTTCAAATGATGGTACGATTAAGTTATGGGACCTGAGAGAGTTTTCAAAGAGTGTTACTACATTTAATGGTAAATTATTTTGGTAAACAATTTTTAAGACTTTGTTCCTTATATTAACATAAATTTTTAGACACTACTCTGAATGAACCCAGTACAGTTAGATGTTTTAATTCGTTTGATGTAGCGCCTTGTAATAGAATAATTGCCGCTGGTACTGAATTCGCCCAAACTGATGCTTTTATATTATTTTGGGATGTAAGAAATACGAAATTGTTAGGAGCTTATTGGGAATCTCACTCGGATGATATTACTCAAGTGAGTTAAAATTATTGGAATAGAATTTTATAATGATTATGGTTTTTATTTTAGGTTAAGTTTAAACCTAGCGACACCAATACACTAATGTCAGGCTCAACAGATGGACTGATAAATATTTACAACTTGTCTGAATCGCGTGAGGAAGATGCCTTCACTGATTGTTTTAACACGGATGGTTTCGTTGACAACTTGCAGTGGTTTGAGGAAGATGGTAAAACAAGAATTAGTTGTATCACATCGACAATTGAATTACAACTATGGGATGTAGATAGTGCAGAAAAATATAAACATATTGATCGAGAAGATTTAGGAAACATAATTAAGGTTCCCATTAATAAAATATTCTTTAAGTTTTTGTAAATTATTTAATTTTTTTTGGTTATAGGGGACAACAGATAATACCTATTTAGCTAGTGTCCATCAGATTCAAGACTCTTTATTTGTTCTTGCCGGTTCGAAGGCTTCACAAGGATATTTCCTGTATAGTTTTCAGGTTAAAAATGGAGAATACTATCCAGCATTTAGATTCGACAACAGTAGGCAAAGGGTTAGAGCAAGTTGGTTAAATACAGATGTAAGTGTAAAATGTATCTCTTAGTGATTTTCTGCAAAATGTGTAGAGATAAAAACATGATTTTATTTTATAAAATAGAATTTATGTAGATTTTTTTGAAGTAACAAAACATTAATTTCATTTGGCAAAGAATGAATGTTATAATTTTGTGGAAAATTGATTAATGTTTTTATAAATCGTCTATACAAAGTGTCTCATTATTCCATTGATATAGAACTACTACATATTTTTGAAATAAAAATAAGTTATTTGGACACAATTCATAATAGTGCTATATCCATGGAATATTAAGATAGCCTATAGAGTATGTTCAAAAAAATCCAGTACCTATGTATTTAAAATTGTTTTTTACAAAATTATTTATATTAATATAGGAGGCATATCATTAAGGAACATATGGAGGTCATTAAGGACCCTGTATAATTGACTTGTTGCATTTGTCATTCATGTCTTTGATATTAATATTAAAAAAATAAAAAAACGAAAATTAAAAAAATTAAAGAAAAATTTAAAAATAAATAAAAAAAACAGTAAAAGTTCAAAGTAATTTTTTGGTTATGCATAGATTAGATCTTTGAATAGAAAGATTAAGGAAGGTTAATTTTGTGGATTTGACAGTCTTACTGAGCTAATTTTATGTTATTTATTATTTACTCTACAACTGGTAGTTCTTTAGAGGTAGTAAATCTAGAAAGATAAAAAATAAAGGATAACATTTAAAGAAATATTCACAAGAAAGTCGAATGTGTTACTGGCCAAAAATAGACAACATGGCAACAGCGTACGCTTATTTCGCTAGATATCGGCGATTCTCAAAATTTTCAATATTTTATTTTTAATTCTTAATAACTGGGTCACGTTTAATGGTGGGTTCATACAGCCAAATAAAATAAAATAAGAATAAAATAAAATAAGAAATAAGGAATTCTTATTTGTGTGCGTTCATACAGTCAAATAAAATAAAATAAGAAATATATATTTGCTCATGCGCAGTACGATGAGGCTGGATAAAAGTTAACTTTTACGATTGTTTATAGTAATTTTACTGTTTATAGTATATTTATTTATTCGTTGCCTACTATATTATACATTTTACTTATGTGAAATTATAAAATAAATTAAATCCAAACTGAAAATATTTGTAGGTTAGAATTAAGCGTGCGCAAAGCCGTTTTCACATAAAATAAAACAAGAAGTTAAAAGATAAAGACTTCTTATTTTATTTGTTATTTTATTTGGCTGTATGAACGCATGTACAGTATCCCATATAACCAACTTTCTTATTTTCTTTTATTTTATTCTTATTTTATTTTATTTGGCTGTATGAACCCACCATAATTTGTTTAAAAAATAATATGAGCAGATTTGGTCAGATGTTTTCCTTTAATTTAAAGAATAGCGTTTAAAATTTTATTATTGTAGAACTACTTGTCAAAAATAGAAAATATGGCAACAATGTATATTTATTTCATTAGATATCAGCAATTCTGAAAATTTTTAATATTTTATTTTTAATTCTCAATAATATGGGCAGATTTTATTTGTTTAAAAAACAAAAATAAAAATTTAGTTTTATTTCTTTGTTTGTTCTTTAAAATATTAAAACTGTAAAAAGTTAAAAGAAAATTTTGTGGCAGAACTTAAATTAACAGTGACCCTTTTGAGTGACACTGTTGCGATTTATCAAAAAGAGAAGTAGACAAATAGACAACGTGCAGTAAACCGTAAATGACCGGTAAAATTCACTTAAAATTAACTAATTATTAAATATATTTTTTCTTGCATTTTTTCTTTTATTTACTACTTGTCCATGAATTTAGATACGTTAATTTCATTTACCTACTTCAGTAACGTATCAGATGTTTGTTATAAATAATTATTATAACTTATCTATTTTTATTAGAATTACATATTTTCATAACAATTTTAATATCAACCAACGTTTATTGACAACGTAAATAAAACAACTAGGGAATGCAATCCCGCAAATGCGGGATCCCTCTGAGATTCCCCGGGATCAAAGTTGCGGGATTTACCGTGCGGGATCGACACTTTACTACTGGATTCTATATCGATCTCGATCAAGGTCAAACCGCTTCGTTCCGGGCCGATGCGTCGACGCTCGGAACCCGGGGGATTCCCCTTACGGCTTGGCCATTAAGTGAAACAAACATTGTTAGATGTCTTTCTGGCGTATGTGCGTAAGTGAAGAAAAGCGTTTAACTAGAACTTGTGGACAATTTCGTCAAAAAACTGCCGGACATAATTATGGGGACAAGCAAAATTTTAGGGTAAATTTAAAGTTGAATATCTCTTGAACTAAAAAAGATTTTGGGATACGGTTTGGACCAGGTTTTAGATGCATCTGTTGTGATTAAGATGCTATGTGGTTTTCGAAAATATATTAAGCGAATTCTCGTATACAGGGTGTTTTATAAGAGTGTGAAATTTTGGTCAAGAATCTTTTACCGCAAATTTACAATTTTTAAAAAATCGAAATTTTTACGACTAATCTGTATTGAAATTAGAATAAACAATTTGATCGGTTTTTTTTATTTTTTTTTTGTTTTAAGGAAAATACGTTTTTTTCGAAAAATATGCATTTTTAGTCATACTCCTAAATGGTACAAAAAGCTTTGTACATTCTGCATATGCCAAAAAATTATTGATATTGTTAGGGATATATAACAATCGATCTCCATAACAGTAGATTGTTTGTTTGTTTACAGGTGATAATATTATATTGACGTTTTAGTAATAAAGTCGTCAGAAGTTTAAATATTTAAATTGAATTTACTTCAAAAGGAATTTTGTAAAAGAGATAACAAATTCAGAAGTGGGATAATCGTCCGACGTTCATTTTTGAGAAGTATGAGTGAACAGGATAGTGAAATTAGCCCAAATCCTGTACTGGAATCAAATTTTGAAAATTTTACCAAAGTCAAGTAGAGCTGCCTATTAGTAATAATACACAGACACGACAGGGTGACCCTGTGAATTTAAATACTGTATTGGATACGATGCAAGCTATAATCCAACAAAATGCCATTATACTGCAAATGATGAACGACCGTCAAAATCAACAACGGGATAATCCAAATTATAATATTATGCCTGATTTTTCGAAATCCATTTCATTTTTCGACGGTATTGACTTGAAGAAAAGTAAATTTTGGTTAGAAAGTATAGAAAGTGCCGCGCAACTCCATAACTGGCCTCCAGCATTTATGTTGGAAACTGCGCGTTCTCATTTAAATGGAGCAGCATACCATTGGTATGATTATAGAAGAGAATACTTAAATTCAGAGACAATTCAAATAGTTTATGATTTATTATGTATCATCATTGTGGTAATTATGTATCATCATTATGTTAATTATGTATCATCATTATGCTAATTATGTATCATTGTTATGTTAATTATGTATCATCATTATGATAATTATGTATCATCATTATGTTAATTATGTATCATCGTTATGTTAATTATGTAGCATCATTATGCTCATTATGTATCATCGTTAGGTTAATTATGTATCATCATTATGTTATTTATGTATTATGATCCTATTGCTAGCTTATTGTATTATTATGAATTTCTTATGTTCTTTATGTTATTGTTATGTTTCTTATGTCTTTACTATGTTTATTATGATAATTATGTATCATCATTATGTTAATTATGTATCATCTTATGGTAATTATGTATCATCATTATGGTAATTATGTATCATCATTATGTTAATTATATGTATCATCATTATGCTCATTATGTATCATCGTTAGGTTAATTATGTATCATCATTATGTTATTTATGTATTATGATCCTATTGCTAGCTTATTGTATTATTATGAATTTCTTATGTTCTTTATGTTATTGTTATGTTTCTTATGTCATTATTATGTTTATTATGTTTCTAATTTTACTATAAATCTATTGTTATTTGTTATCGATCGGGGCGATCGAGTGTCAGGTTGGCCGATCTGTTAGGGATATATAACAATTGATCTCCATAACAGTAGATTGTTTGTTTACAGGTGATAATATTATATTGACGTTTTAGTAATAAAGTCGTCAGAAGTTTAAATATTTAAATTGAATTTATTTCAAAAGGAATTTTGTAAAAGAGATAACAATATAGAGTATATCTAAAAGCAGATAACTAACACAATTTAAAAAACACTTCAACATCAGAATAATATTTTTATTTATAAAATAAGTAGATAAATTAGATATAATAAAATTTAAGTTTATTTAATATTAAATATATTTTTTGAACACCCTGTATAAATCGGTCCAAATTTCTGTACAGCTAGTTTAAGATACACGCTATATCAATATATTGTGGGCCTATGCAAAATGTACAATGCCTTTTGTACCATTTAGGACCAAATGTATGACTATTGTTATAGTCCCGCAATTTTGCGGATCCGCAGGATTGATTACTTTAATCCCGCAGGTTTGCGGGATTGAGATTTTCGTGCGGGATTGCATTCCCTAAAAACAACAAATTATTGATCATATTTTTACACGTTTTGAATAAAATTAGAACGGCACTGATAAACCGGAATTTAAGTCGCCATTTTTGGTCTGTTTTTTGATATGCTCCTTCCTTAATCTTTTTATTCAAAAATTATAATATGTAGTGAAAAGTAACAATAAATAATATATTATTTTTCAGACTAATCTGTTAATCACAGGAGGCGAAAGCGGTAAGTTAGACTTGTGGAGACCCGATTTAAGCACACTAAACTACAAAACTAAGCGGAAATAAAACCACACTTGTATTTTTTTAATATATATATTTGTATTTCTTAAAATAACTCTTCAATTACCAAATCCCTTAAATTATTTCATGTCAAAATTAGTACGGAATATTTTTCCGAAAATATTCCACTCTTAACTGAAAAAAATCGAAACGTGGCAACCTCGGAGAAGAATATTACTAATAAAATTAATTATTAAAGAGAAATGAAAAAAAAAGTCGATTAAGATGAGCGTATATACAGTTCTCTATACGGGGTAACAAAAAAAAGGTAAAAATATATTCTATTTTTAAATAAATACTTCTCTAACTCAACAGTATATAATAATATCTAAAAAGTATATATTTTTTATATATATATCATCTTAATATAAAAAAAAAGAAATATTTCGTGATATTCTATCGCATATCTGGTTTAAAACTCTAGAAAAACACGTCGTTATATTTTCTCTCTGTCATTTTCAATATAGTTTTTCTAGAATTTTAAACCGTCCTGCGTTTTGTTTCTCTCAACACTATACCGGAAATCGCAAAAAATATGCCAAAGAGACAGAAAAAACTTATACCTATGTCGCTTGAGATCCTCAATTAAATATAATTATGTATAAAAAAAGAAAGAGACATCTCCTTAACGTTTTCGGTGATATTAGCACGAGAATTTTATTACATTCTGTGTGTATGTTGTGTTAGAACCAGGCATCAATGTAGCGGATGGTTTCGACATTCGGAAGCCAAAAATTTCTACTTCGAGACGAGAAACATAATTAACCTGGAAGAGAAGAGAACCTGATAAGATATACTTACTTATCGATGATTATCGATATATCGGGAGAAAAGCCCATCCCTAACAGGGACGGATTTTTATATCGACTTTACATAATCGATAATGGATTTTACATATCGATTAGTTATGACAATTCACGTATCGATATATTTTATTTATCGATATGTCGATAATCATCGATCTATCGATAACTTATTACAATTGGGGGTTGGAATCTTTGGTGTTACAACAGCAAAATAAAACACTAATTTATCACTTTTTGGTGTATTGTGATGAATTAATGTTTTATTTTGCTTGCTACTTGTATCGATTTTTGAAGTTAACGATCTATCGATAACTATAAAATTACCAATAACTCGGTTTATAGATAACTATCGATTTATCTACAATTTTAAAATTTCCTATTGGTATTCGATATATCGGTAAAAAGTTCATCTCTATTAGGGATGGGCGATAATGGGCCTATCGATAAGATATCGCAATTCAACTATATTTTAGTTATCGATGTACCGATTATTGTTTAAGTTACCTATTGTTTTTCGACATATCGATAGTTATCGATATATAGGGAAAAAATCATCTGTATTAAATGTTTCAATATACATATATTGTAATCCATATGTTGACAATTCTCGATAATCGTCGATCTATCGATAACTATCAAATTACCAATAATTATCGGTTTATCACTTGTCTAGCCCCTGCAAGGCAACTATTAAGCTTGACCAACCACGTTAGAGTTTTTGACAAAAGCGGATGCAAAACAGCTGTGGCGTACTATATAATTTATTACAAACAAATAAAGAAAATCAATAAATATCTAACAAACAAATATAAATTAGTAAAAACCAACCAACCCCACCAAATAACCAACGAATTAACACCTTCCAAATAACCACGCTAACCAAAGCTTAATAGTTGCCTTGCTGGGGCTAGACACAATTGGTTTATCGATATACATATAATATAGTATCTATATTTTTGAAATTATCTATCGTTATTCGATATATCAATATACATATAATATAGTATCTATATTTTTGAAATTATCTATCGTGGTTCGATTTTAGCTATTGATATGGCAATTTACCTATCGATAATGGATTTTACCTGTTATCTCTGGCAATTCTATTGATATATTTTATAATATACAGGGTTGTTCACCCCATACGACACGGAGTATTGTAGCTAAACGATTAGATTTTTACAAATTGTAAGTTTTGGGTTCGTTGCAGGACTATTAGAGCTACAATTTAAAAATAAAACGACTTATAGGATCGTGACCTACAAATAATTTTTACAAAATACAATACATTTAAATAAAAAAATTACAGCTATCAAAAAATATATAAATATTATGAATATTTTCTTGGTCAAAAAGTATGGAAACTTAAGAAGAATGTTTATTAAAATTCAAGATAATATAAAAATATACTAATATTTAGTGGAATATCCTTATTCTACATCTTAATGGCAAAAATCAATCATATCAGAGTGTCTAATCTTTTATTTTTAAATTATTTCTAGTCTTTAAACGGCAATAATTTGTTTTATTTGAAATAGAACGCCCTGTATATTTTGCTATCTAGATGCACCCATAAATTTTCAAATTGTATTACGCCACTTTTACCGGATCCCTTCAAGTTTTCGTATAAAATGCATTTTCTTACATTTAGACCTCATTTATCAATTATACCCATGGAAGATTTACATTTTAGATCATTTTTAAAGCAACAAAAGTACCATCTGTACAGGCTATTTCTATCATCGTTTTAGCAAAATGAAAATATTACTAGCCCATTGTCTTTGTAAAAAAGAAAACTATTATCCCATCTTTATAAAAGAGGATTAGTACCTTAACAATTAACACCGTTAATACCATTATTCTAAATAAATGTGGATGTTGAATGTGGGCATCTGGTAACTTATGTTATGAAACCGTGTACCTTTTGGTCTTAACGTCTCCGGTCACTACCAAACAGTTGAAACTTGCTTTCATCAAGCTAAACAGTACAGTATTCCATTTCTGATAAGACCAGGTGAGATGATCTTGAGCAAATTTAAAGCAGGCCATCCTATTTTTCTTTGATATTAGTGGTTTCTTCACCACAACTCTTCCAAAAAAGTCCCATGTCATCCAACCTTACTCTCACCGTGCGTGCAGACACCAATATTCCCCTTTCATTCATTTCTCGAGATATGTCTGTAATTGTTATTAATGGAACGCAAACATTGATATAATCTCTTTGAATACTGGAATCATATTAATTGTCCTGTTTAACAACTTATTTAAACAGTTCCTGACTTAAAAGCTAATGAAATAAACAAACTATATCGATTAATTTTAGTATCTGTATTTTTAAAATTTGATACCTTTTAAAATAATCTAAATGTCAGTATTCCATTTGTATTTGTATTGATAAACCGCTCTTGTATATTACAAGAAAATGCATTTTCTTTTTAAATCCGTAGAAGAGATAGGTAAAAAATGGTATAATACAATTTGATAGACAATTAAATTGTGCATCTGATTCTCATAAAATATACAGGGTGTTCAATTTAAATGAAACAAGTTATTGCCGTTTAAATATATTAATTATTTAAAATAAAATTTTGGACACTCTGTATAAGGTAGTATAATTTTTATTATTGCAGCACAATAACTGATCGATAAATAAACTTCTGTTTATACCTTTATCAAACTTAAATTTATTTTTATCGTAGAAACTATAATAATAATAATATACAGGGTGTTCCATTTAAAAACTTTTGGCCACAAGAAATCTATTGTTTCCTTTAAAACTGGACACTCTGTTTCTTTCAAAAATATTTTGGAATATTTTATTTGCTGATCTTCATTTATCCCAGAACTTAAGCATAGTAAAAATTTAATGTGATATTTTAAAAGTAAAAAGTTTCATGTGTTTAAACCACCACTGTATATGTTGATAATTATCGATATATCGACTATTATCGATAACTACCTATAACTATTATAATTTTGGAGTCACCTATAATATCGATAATTATCGATATATCGGGAAATAGTGTTTTTAACCAAAGTTTCAGTAAATGCGGAATAGATTGGCAATGTCGCTTAGTGCTTTAAATTAACTTTTTTTTTGTAGGTATACAACAAAATATTTTCTCTTTCGAAACTATGAAACATTTAAATAAAACTGTTTTTCGTATCTTAAACAACAACGACGGTATTGCACTTTACCTGAGATTTATAGTTTTCGCTGCTAGCAATCGGTTGCATTCGGCTGTGTCAGGTAACGGCAAGGTGACGTAAGGACTTTCGTTGTTCTGGTCTGTGAAATCGAACTCGTAAATCCTCGGTTTCACCTTGATGTCACCTACGGGACCTCTTAACACGATGTAGCTCAGATTCAGAGACGTCGTGGACTTGGACTTCAGAATCAACTGCAAAATAATATATGTAAGAGGGTCTTTTTCTGGAATTCGCCATAACGTCACTGTTAATTTAAGTTCCGACACAAAAAATCCTTCTAGATTTACTACCTCTAAACAAAACCAATGGTAAAATAAATAATAAATTACATAAAATAAGCTCAGAAAGGCATACATGGATAGGGTTAATTATAGATAGAGTTAACTATAGGGTTTCCATAAAGGCTTTTGGAAATTCCGGACTAATGAACTCTGAAATCCGACGTCACAAAAAGAAATTATAAATTTACTAGCGTGTACCAGCGACTTCGTTCGCGTCGAATTAATCATTTGTAATGGTGATGATAAAGCAAAGCAAGAATTTCCATTAACCATACAAACTGGATAAAATTTTCTCACATTTATATCAGCATGAGAAAAAACAATATGGCGATATTATTATATAACTTGGTAATATTTGAGGGGTAGTTTCATCTCGTTGAAATTTAACTTTCGGAAAATCCGTTTGTCAAAAATATGCTTTTTACGTCAAGCAGTTTAAGTAGAATCGTGGTCAATCAATTACCCAACTTTTTGGAACACCCTGTATGATTTTTTTAAAAATTTCAAAATATGTAAAAAAAACAAATAAATTATGCTTGTCCAAGCGTTTTCCCGAAGGACTAACCGTTTTTTAAATAACAAATATTGTAATATTTGAGGGGCGTTTTCATCCTCTTGGAATTTGAGATTCGAGAAACCCCTCCTTATGCAACCTCTACACCCCACAGTCAATCCGTTTGCCAAAAATCAGCTTTAAACGTCAAGCAGTTTAAGCAGAATCGTGATTACTCAATGGTCATATTTTATGAAACACCCTGTATAAATTTTTAAAAAATCCTAAAATATGTAAAACAACAAAATAAAATATACGTGATTAATTAATATTTGAGGGGTGGTTTCACCCTCTTAGAACTGGAATTTCGAAAAATCCCTTCTTATCGAACCTCTACACCTTAGAATCAACATGTATGCCAAAATTGAGCTTCTTACGTTGAGTGGTTTGAGCAGGATCGTGATTAATCAGTATGTCAGTCACTTAAGGATTTTATATTTTAGTATAGATTTATGAACTTTTATAGGACGCAAATAATAGCCTCGAAATCAACAAAAAAATATAAACCAAAAAAGCATTCACTTTCTAGGAGTGCACCAAGTGCGAAAAATTTGATCGTCAAAGTATGTTTAGTTTCGTAACTGTCCTTGTACCTAAATTCTAATATATGTTGCTCTACGTGGCAATCGCGCTTAGCTTATTTGGAAGAATCGAAGACATCGATCAACAGAGACGCACGCGTAGAGAAATGGCATAGATAAATGCAACAAGTTTAGATTGGGAAGCCCGTAAAAAATTTAGGTCGCGAAATTATTTTGGGTCGCGACCGTTATACGCGATCTGGCGCTGCTATAGCGGTTGCTAAGAACAACGGCAAACAAAAACAGAAATAATTTTCTCTTGTCAAAGTCAGAATCTTCAAAAATCATAATAATCTTTCAAAATCTAAACCGCTCTCATTAAAGAAATTCCGAAAAGCGTTTATAGTGTCTATTTTCAAAGTAATAATTGCTATCTTGTGAGTTTAATTCAAGTTTTATTTACTCCAACCGGTGATAATTGTAAAAAAGTGGCATTAAAAACTTAAAAAGCTGTGCTGTAAACTGTGAACTGCAAAAACCATCGTGGATCGTGGCATAACGTCGGTTTCCAATGTTTCATAGGTATTTCATACATGCGTCCTTATATAAAATAAAGTTTCTTGTATGCAACACACTGTCTTTTATTTATAAAATTAAACGAAAATAATAATAAACTTGAATAAACAATATTTGGCGATATAATTCCGGAAAAAGCCGAACCGCTCCGAAATTTTCAAAAGTTTTGGGTCGCGACCGTTGCAAAAATAGCGCCAAATAGTGTTTACATTGTCCTTATGGGCACTTTCCAATCTAAACTTGTTTCATTTATCTATGGAGAAATGGTGGCTGAAACGTCAGTTGGCGTCTGTTTGTAAAATTATGAAAACATTGTAAAAATCTATCATAAATGTTGAAAACCTATAAGTATTTTAACGTATGTAGTGTTCTGCTCAGTATTATTGTTAAATGTAACGGAATGTTCAAGAAATATAGCATCATTAATATGGATTAACAGTTCAACGAAGTGTTTTGTTATTTACTCCCGTCCTTTCCTTAAAAAAGTAAGGAAAGGAGTCCTTCGAAGATAGAAAAAGTACGATTCTACAATTTAAAGAGACAGTATAGAACAGAAATAGAGCTGTAGCATCGTAGAGACTAAAATATTCAACAAAGTAACTGAGAAATTAATTCAACTGTAACTGTAAAATATTTTACAAAGTTAAATTGTTTTTGAGGTCAGGTTTCCTGGACGCTTTTCCAAATCCGGAAAAAAATAGTAAACTTTAAGAATCTCTCACCTGATAATTCATATCGCGCTGGGAACTCTGTGTGGGATCTTTTTGACAGTTGTTTATCCTTGCCTTAACCACCCACTGATTGTTGAAAGCGGAAAACCTGGACGATTCGTAAAACAAGCGGTGAACGAACTCGTCGGTCCTGTACGGTTTCAACTGTATATCTAAAGAAAATAAACAGATATCCGTTAGACAGAGCTTTAATGAATGCGACAAGGTATGAACAGCGACGAATTCCTGTTTTACCTACCGGTGAAGGTGATTTTCTCGTATCCCAACAAATCGAATATGTTCTCGAAGAGCTTCTTCTCCTCGGCCATCTGCTGGTCCATGGCCAGGAGCGAGTCCATCACTTCTGCGCCTGTGCGGTGCGGGTGCGCGCACTGGCTCTCGTGCTCCTGCCGCTCGTGTTCGGGGCCCCTCCAAGGGCATCCGATACGACTGTACTTGCATCCCGAGATTCTACAGGGCAAAGGAGAAAATAAAGCATTTATTACAGGGTATGTCTTAAAGATTAAATAAACGTTTAAGGCTGGAAAGAGTTTTAGTCAAAAACGTTTCTGACTAAAACTGTTTTCATATGCATCAATGCAAATTAAATGGACTAAAGAAAGATACGAAAATTTCTGCTGATATTGCATTAAATCTATGGCATGTGTTTGAAACCGAAGTGTGTTATTATTGTTATTAATATTTTTTGGGGTACCACCATAGACAAACAGAAAAATTAAAAGACTGCCAGAAGACATACGACGCGCAGGCAAATGTTCCTGTAGCGCATCGACGCAAGTGCCGAAATACGTCCATCTAGCTATCTGTGTTTCGACACTAGTCCGTTAGTCTTAGCATATTCAGAAAGAACACGCTAACCTCCAGCGTTGCCAATTTGTAAGGAATTCCCCAAATTTTGGGGAATCCGGAGCCGATTGGGAATTTTGTGGGGATTAGCAATAGGCGGCGAAAATAAGGGGAGTTTCAACATTTTATTGCTGATTGAAAATGGCGTAAAATTTTTAGCTTGAAAAACGGAGCGTGACGATATATCTTTCCCAACTTAAAAATTATAATCTGCTTTTTACTTGTGCTTCCTTTTGCAAATGCTTCAGTTGAAAGAAAATTTAGTGACCTCAAAAGGACTACTACGGAAGGGATTAAAAAACAAGGAGGTAATTTACAGTTTAATCCCTCTAACATATATAATAAATATTGTATTTATTAAAATTATTTTTTTTTTGTTAATATAATCATATGGGGAATTTTTGGTGAATCGGGACATTTTTCTCCCCAAATTGGCGAATTTAATTTAGATTTTTGGGTAGTTTAGAAAATTGACATTGGCAACGCCGCTAACCTCATTCTTTTGTTTGTTGTTTGTTCAAAAACCGAAACATGGCGTAGTACAAGGCTTGATCATTTTTTAAGAAATTTTTGATTGTTAATTTTATTTTTGTCCAAACTAAACAGTTGTTTTTTATTAAAAAATAGCAGACAAAGGTAAGAAAGGTAATGTCCATGCAGAAGTTTTTATTTCACAGGCTATTCTTTCTAGAAATTATACCATCCAGCCCTCCTATTTAATTATTAAATGAAAGTGTGAAAGAGATATCAAGGGCTATTCTGTTAAAATATCATCCGGCCAGTCTAGGCCCTGTTGTGAACCAGAAGGTCTGCTAAGTTGGATGTTGGATATAGAATGGAAGGAATATCATGGCCGAGAACAAGGCATAATTGTATGTCCCTTGATGTAGGAGGGTAGGTTTGTTTCTAATAGGCAGTAAAACCAAAAATTCTACTGTTAATCTTCATATGCTAGGCCTGTAAAGATAAATAATTCCTGGAGCCATCTCGAGGTATAGTACTCAAGTCGGAGCGAATCAATTGATAGCACGATGAAAAGAAATAATAGAAAAACCATCATAAAACTGTAAATATGTATATAACTAGTACAATGTAGCTATTTAACTGTAAGTACAATGTAGCTAGATATTTAGTAGAATAGGGGTATTATAAATTAATACAAAATACAATAATTGGTCATTCTTTCCATTCCCATTCAATTCTTCCCATTTAATCTTTTTCCCATAAAAAAAAGAAAATTAAAATTAAGAGTGCCCTTAACCAAAAATAGTGAAATAAATGGAGATGGTCAAATTTTATATTAGCGTGTAAGACTTTGAATAAAAAGGTGTAAAAGGATTATAAATGCTGTATTTATATCCTTTAATATCATGATAATATAAAATTTGACTAGGCATCTCCATTTATTTCACTGTTTTTGGTTAAGGGCACTCTTAGTTTTAATTGCCTTAAAAATAATAAGTATAATAATAATTTAAATCTCCCGCTCTTTCATAGTTCGTTCCTGTAGCCAACCAGAGGGCGCAAAAAGCGCAATCTCCCAACATTTTACCACGCGATTTACTACTCTCTAAACTATTAACTTTCTCTATGGGTACCACCTAGGCTTGGTGCATTTCAGTTGATTTCAACAAATTTCGACCACAGCGCTTCAACGGCAGAAATCAGATATAGATATACATCGCATTAAAATAATATTGAAATCGTAGTTTTTGTCATAATACTTAAGTATTTTAGTTTTTTGCTGGTGCAGTTATTGAGACTATAAAACACTCAGGTACGAGGTTTGTGCGATGTAACGCTGTTTCGGGTAGTAAAAAATAAGTGAAAAAGAATTCGAACTAGGCGTCGATCGTGCTGTGTTGTGAAAATTTCAAATGTTAATAAAATAGCCGATATATATGATAACGCGTAAAGGAGAGCGTAATAAAGGCGTTGTTGGGTGCAATAACATTCGATAACTAAACTTTTCCGGATATTCAACTCTCCCGAAACAACATTTTATACTTTCATAGTTTCTCACACTGATTTTATCAAAATTAAAAATGGATTCAAGTAGTTCGCCGAAACAAGTGAGTAAAGAAAGTGTGCTCGTTACATAATAAAAATATTAAATATAGACATATACTATGAGAGGATAAAATATAATTTACAATATTAATGGTATAGGTACTTTTTTAATCAACTAGCGATTAATAGTTTTATGAACATCTTCTATAATTATAATTATGTACCTTTAAAAAATTTCGTTAGAGCCGAAATATGCCTCACTAGCAAAACCGGTGATTAAAACTATGCTCGCTACCGTAGTTGAACTCATCTAAAAAGTTTTTTTTAACTGGAATAATAAATTATAATACAAGTTAGACCCTCTGAAAGATATCAAAATACATTATTTATTAATTAATTATTGAATTTACTTTTTTATTTTTAGAATTTTCATAAATTATACTTCCTAACACTTAATGTGTATTTGTATATACCAGTTGTTTACGATATTCTCCGATGGTGGCAGCACCGGCGGAGAATGTACCAAGCCTATAGAAACAGCGTACTAAACATACCGATTTGATCATTTTAGAAGTGTGGTCTTGATTTTAACGTGTAAGACAGTGATGTAGACAGCTTAATGGCGAATCAAATGTATTAAAAAGAGATAAAAGTTGGGTTAATACATTTCTTCTATGCGGTATTGCCGGATTTTGCATTAAAAAATTCAAACTGCACAAACAGGCATCTAGGGTTGGAACCTTATTTTTCACAATTACATAGTTAGTCATTTTACTACAGATAAATTATATTTAGCTTAGATATATTATCTTCATTTCAGTAGTATACATGAAAGTTTTTAAAATAGTTTTTTTCCTACAAACGTAAAAACCGGCAACACTGTATGCCGCTTATGATTTTGTCTCTCTATCTGTCAACCGGTCATATATATTCTCTGTCTTCCTCGTTAATATCCAGACCACACTTCTAAAATGACCAAATCGGTATGTCTAAGTATATCATTTTATTTAAAATACAAAGATTATACATTTGAAATTATTTTTAGTTTTCTAATTAAATTAAAATAAAAATTATTATGGAAGTAACTATGACAACACTGCTTTAGGAAGACTGTTTGCTTTGTTTTTTATTATTTTTTTTCTCTATACAAAAATGTTTTTGTCTAAGACAGTACGCTCTTTCTGCGTGCTTCTTTATACGTACCTCTCTTCGCACTCCTGCTCCTCGTGACGCTCCAGCGAGTTCCTCGGGTACTGCTTGCCGCAGAACTGGCACTCATTGGGCAGCTCACTGACCGCATTCTCCACGGCCAAGTTCCTGGTGGCCGACACCTTGGATATTTCCACGCGACAGCTGGGACACGTGGCGGTCTCGTCGCGCAGGCGCGCGTCGGCCAGCACGTGCGTGAAACAGCCCGCGCACATCAAGTGGCCGTTGGTGCACTAGACGGAGGGGGGCGGGCAAGAAAAAAAAAATAAGTCAGGTTATGGTCTAAGACAGAGATAAAAAAGGTGTAATTGTTTGAGGGTCGCCGGTAAAGAGTCTACTTGCGGTGGCTCTCAAAATGTTCACCGGTAGGTTTCAAAATATTTGCCGGTGGCCCTCAAAAGGTTTTCTGGAGTTTGTATTAGGACTACCGATACAAATTCGTAAGGTACAGTGAGTATACAGGGTGGTTCGAATTGTATTCGTGAAACTTCGGCAGCATATTCTGCAGATAAAAATAAGTACAAAAGTTCGTATAAATGTATGTAAAATACTTCGTTTCGGAGATACAGGGTGTAGAAGTTTCATTTTTATTTCGATTTTTTTCAAATAATTTGTGAACTAACGTCGGTATTTGGATGAAAAATGGCGTCTGTATGTTTTTTGGCATGAGATTTGATTTCGATGTCAAAATAGCTCCTGCTTGTACGGGACGCCACCTAAATATTTTTAACTGGTTTGATGAGTAATAACTTTTCATCCGTACCTGTATAAAACTACCGAGTGAAAAAATATACATTTTCGCCGTTTTTTACGTAAAAAAGGTCTCTTGGTAAAAATCGTTCGGAGTAATAGTTCTCGAGATATTTGGAATCGAAGTAACCAACATATTTATGTCATCATAGACGAAAATTGAACATGTTGATAAGATAGTCATTAGACTGAAATCATAAATTTGAAATGTTTTTCTAAAAGGTTTATCAGAAACTGTATCATTTCTAGAAAAAAAATAAAGAGTTCCTAAATTTAGCACATCTAGTTCACTTTTTTGTCAATGGTGACATATATTGATAATTTACATTTCAAATATCTGGAGAACTTTTACGTAAAAAAACAGCGGAAATGTATATTTTTTCACTCAGTAGTTTTATACAGGTAGGTACGTAAAAAAGTTATTACTCGGTAAAATATATGTAGATGCCGCCCCCAACAATTAGGAGTCATACTGACATTGAAATGAAATTTCTCATGTCAAAAAATACCCAGACACCAATTTTCATCCAAATATTTACATTAGTTCAGAAATTATTTGGAAAATGGAAATAACACTGAAACTTCTACACCCTGTATCTCCGAAACGAAGCATTTTAAGACTGAAATTTATAGAACTTTTTTACTTCTTTTTATTTGCAGAATATTCTGCCGATGTTTCCCGAATTCAATTTGAACCACCCTGTATAACATAGGTTACACAAACTATAGCACGTTTCTCATAAAAAAAACTTATTTAAAGTATGAGTGTAATCGCCGCTTAAATTTGACAAAACTAACACAAGTTAAAGATTAAAAAGTGTTTGAAGAACCATAGTTTTGTGGAGACTCCTCAAATCACTATCATGTACTTTATGACTGTTGAAACTAAATATTGACATATATTGTGAGTGAGTCTCTTAAATTTAACTAACGCAGATTATGATCAGGGTATTTCACGATGATAATGTTTTTATCGCTCAAAATAAGACCTTTTTCCTACAACGAAAATGGTTTGTTTATCTTTAAAAATTTAAACTTTTCTGTATTTTATGTACCTTTCCTGAAATTTGAAAATGGCCGATTAAACATTTGTTTTAATGTCGTCTACTTTATTATACACAGTAGGCATTCTTATATGGGTCACCGTGTATAGTTGTATGGTTTGCTTAAGTACAATGTATTTCATATTACAAAATGTAAAAGCAACAGAAGACCCTTGTACCTAAATTTAAACTTTAGCCTCCTGTAGCTGATGAAGAAATATACCGGGTGTTGCATCGTCAAGCGGCACATAGGAAATCCCATGTAAACTTTAATGGGGTCAATTATTAGCTTCCCTAATTATTTTAGAGAATAATTCTATTTAGGTTTATTGAAGAGCACTAAAACCCACATTCAAAAGAATAACTTTAGATATTTTTGATTAGCCCGTTTACGAGTTATCGCCGATTTCTTTTTAAATATTTCTCCTTTCTTATGGCCCTGTATTTACTTATGAGCACCAGTCAGGGTGCAGACACACTATCCTAAAAACGGCGTATCGGCGTAACGGCGTAATGACCTGAAATTTTTGACAGATGAATTTGACAGATAAAATTTCTGACAGATGAATGCTTCAGCCAATAGAATTACTGGAAATCTATTCAAGGTTATTACGCCGTTACGCCGATACGCCGTTTTTAGGATAGTGTGGCTGCACCCTTAAGGTAAAGGATAACTGTCAAATGAAGTTGTCATTTAATAGTACCTAAATTAATAAGTTATTGAATATTGTAATAATACTATAATTAACCTTATAATTGATTACTTTATTTTGCTTTAATTCATATTAATTTGTATTTATAAATACATCTTTAAGATTTCCGATGTAGGAATGAGTTTTCAATAATAATAAAGCACTAAATAGGTAAATTTCTGAAAAGACAACTTCATTTGACAGTTATCTTTTATCTTGACTGGTGCTCATAAGTAAATATTTCAAAAGAAATCGGCGATAACTCGTAAACGAGCTGATCAAAAATACCTAAAGTTATTCTTTTGAATGTGGGTTTTAGTGCTCTTCAATAAACACCTAAATAGAATTATTCTCTAAAATAATTAGGGAAGCCAATAACTAACCCCATTGAAATTTACATGGGATTTCCTATGTCCCGTCCGACGATGCAACACCCGGTATAATACATAATAATATTTATTAATTTCATAAACATTAAAAAATCATAAAAATAAATTTTATATTCCCATATTTTTCAAATTAGTAATAATTTTCTTTACAACACAATGTTTGAATTTGTTCCTACCACACTGATAGTACACTATTGGAGATTTCTATTCTTTCTATTTTAAAAATCTTCTAATGGGATTTACTAAAAATAAACAAGTCGTATATAGATTTTAAAAATAGTTTTTTTTTTAAATCAAACGCACTATTATAAGTTGGGCTATTAAGCTATTATAAAACTTTATTTTTTCAAATTAATGGAAAATTTTTCTAGAAAAAATTATGATAACACAGTCTCCGTTAAACCTTTGGTATCATTTCCAAATTTTATATTTTTTTAGTCACTATCTTATATTGATTATTTCGATTCCAAAGACATATCTTGAGAACCATTACTCCTACCAATTTTTTTCAAGAGACATTTTTTCTTAAAAAAGGCCGGAAATGCATATTTTTTCACTCAGTAGTTTTATACAGGTCCGGACGAAAAGTTATAACTCTTCAACAGTTAAAAAATTACGTAGGTAGCGCCCTTACAAGTAGGAGTCATAGTATCATCGAAATCAAATTTCTCATGTCAAGAAATACCTAGACACTAATTTTCACCCCAATATGCAATAAATTGTAAGACATAAATGTATACTAACTATTTAATTTATTTTTATTTGGAAATAATATGTTGTTCCATTTACAGTTGAAATGCTTAATCGATTTCAAGATGCCTAGGTAATTAATATTCAGCAATTAAACGATTATGTCTAGAATCTTTTAAATGCTTAGGTAATATTTAAAATATATTTAAAAAGAAATTAAAGATAACCCTACTTAAACATCACTATTTCAAAAAGTCTAATACCAAAAATAAATATTTATTGACCAATTTAGAAGTTATTATTGATAAGAAAGTACCGCTTTTATTGGCAGACACAACAAAAGCCTTGGCAGTCGTTTTAGTGTATTTATTTTGTCTTTTCGAAATACATATAAACAAATAAATTAAAATATTTACTGATAAATACACTTACCAATCCTCTTCATACCCTGTAACTAATCAACAAAATATTTATTAATGAAATTCACCCACGCAAAATGATGAACTATATGAAATCAAAAATGAAAAGAAGAATTGAAAAAAAACAATTTTTTATGAAATGTTCGGTTTACACATACACCTACCTTTCATAACAAAAAGATTTCTTTTAGACTGATTTTTCTTCGTTTTTTTTAGCAGGTACTACGTACTGAAAGTACTTAGGATGGGATTGAGGAATAGTACTAAATCTATAGTGAATAATACCACTATTCAGTTAGATTTAAGACGTTTATTGAAAAAAATTATGAAATATTTATATAAAAAATCAAGTAGAGACGATTACGATGATTACATTAAAACAAAAAAAAAACTTAGACTACACTAGTTTTTTTACAATTTATCTTAAAATTAAAAGATAGGCTTGTTAGTGTAAACAAAAAAAAAGTCCCTGTTATTGTTTCAATATCTTTTTTACAATGATTAAACTATAGATAAGTACCTAATTGGAACAAACTTATTTAAACGCTTGGGCGATCTCATACAAAAACAAATAAATAAGATGACATACCTTTTTGTTTAATTTCATCATAAACTATAAACAAAAATTTAATCAGGAATGTTGAACCTCCTTTTTTTATTATGGCAAAGGAGGCTCAACATTACACAACAAGTCTGGGCGAACTTTTCGAGTAAGCCCTGTATAGAGAACAGCCATAAAGACTATTTCTACTACGTCGTATTTTTAGCTGCAAGAGGAAAAAAATCAATAGGGAAAATGGGTCCTGCTGACAGGCGCAGCAGAACAAAGAAACGGCCCACATGAAAGCGATTTTCTCTGGATAATTACATAGTTATGTAATAGCGAATTGTAAATAAACCCGAATTTTCTTAAAATACAATCCACTTACCTGATAAACGGCGGCCCTGGGCAGATCGAGACAAACTGCGCAGCACAAAATTCCACCCAGTCTTTCTTCGAGTTTGTGCTTTTTATCGTCGCTCTGCTGTTTGGATATTTTACGTTTTTTCGCTTCGGGCTCCGTGAATTCCTCCTTTTTCTCCTGCGACGACTCGATCAGATCGAGGGGCAGCTCGCTGCTCGAGCTGGCAGCCTCCTGTTCCGTCGACATATTTTCTGAGAAATTTGCCAAAACACTGAACAGCTGAGCGAAAGGGGACAAACGTCAGGCCGATTCGATCAGATCAACAAAAATGCGCGTTGCGGGGAACGGAGAAACAGCTGACGTGACGTTGCAGCGGTTTGCGCTTGACAAGAAGCGAGGATGCTGCCCCCACCCGTCGCATTCTTTAGTTAATAGCCACGCCTGTCGGGGGGCGATTGCCGAAATCCATCGGTTTTAAGAATCAATTTCACTAGTCGAAAAAGTTGCAAAACAAGCGTTTGGCATTTAACGTGTTATGTAAAACTGGCTAGGTTTTTTTACACAAATGAAGAAGGAAATTAAAGATAAAGAATTATACTATATCCGTAGTAATGTAGCACATTTTTAGACACTTCTTTATTTTTAAGATTTTGATGGTCCATTATTATGGTTGATTATGGATTAACCATTAACTTGGTAATAAAGAAACAATCTCCATAGAAAATTATTACTATATTATACAAATCTCTTGCAAATAAAACAACGGGATAATAACGCCGATTTGTCCTCATTAGATACGCTCAATTTCATCTCATTTCGTATCTAGGAAATCCCTAGTATAGTCTATAAAATGAATAACTTTGAATTTTGACCGTTATTTTTTACCAATATGGCAAATATAAAATCCCTCTGTCAAAAAAGTTACTGATATTCTTTAAATTGAGTACCTGAACGAATCAGATAGGTAACTCTTTTTACTTTCGTGAAATAGAAAAGGAAAATAATAAAACAAGTGACAGTTCTTCCTCTTCTTGCAAAAATCAACCCGAAATGTCATAATTGCCAAAAGTAAAATGTCATCAGCGTTTGACATTTCTAAATATCAAACCAATGCCGTCTCTAATAGAACAGCCACGGAGCGAGATTTATGACGTCACGCTAATTAGATACTAAGGATTAATAAATATGTTGTAAAATACATGGAAAACATAATTATTCCTCGTATTTTTGGTTTGTATTTTAAAAATGATATAGTTTACATGAAATATATATAATATACAGTTAATAAATACAATATATATACCTCTTTATAGTAATAAATACTTTGGCAAATAAATTATAAACCATACAAATGCAGCAAATGTTTTACAATATACAAATAATGAATAGGTACGTAAGATAATGGGTAAAATGTAAAATATATTTTAAATTTTGGTGTTTGAAAATCGATCTAATTTAACAAAAAACATTCAATATCTACTAATAGTGATGTATTATTATTTGCATTCACAAAATTTATATGTATATTTTGCAAGTATCAATGTTCGAAAAATTATATTTGCAAATAATACAATATCATAGAAAAAAGGCGTCAGCGATGGCTATAAAATAAAGATCGCTGTCATTTTATATGTAAAATTATTCTAAAATTTTTGATTTTCTTGGGATTTAGGTTAGGATGGAGTACGATTTCAGCCATAGTCAATGTAGATAGTTAGTGTTAAGAATAATAATTTTAAAAAATAAACAAAATATTAAAAATAAACAAAAACAATAAATAATAATGAATTAATATTATTAAAAAAGTTATTAACTGTATATTATGTATATTTCATGTAAACTATATCAGTTTTAAAATACGAACCAAAAAACGAGGAAATTTTTTCCATGTATTCTACAACATATTTATTAATCCGTAGTATTTAACTAGCGTGACGTCATAAATCTCACTCCGGGGCTGTTCTATTAGTGACGGCATTGCGTCAGCATGGCCGCAAGTTGCTAACCTAATAAAATTAACACTAGAAAAGCGCGCGGGAACTGTCAAATTCAAAGTTATTCGTTTCACAGAGACTATATCAATCACACATAAACGAAAGGCAAATTTTCGATGGAACTCGCGAATCGCCTCCCGAATGTTTTGTTTCTCTTCTACACGCCATGTGCTGGGCAAGATCAGCTGTATTTACGTTCGGTACAGGGTGGACCAAACAATTTAAGCCAGCTTTTGGTTCCCAAAACAAAGCCACAAATCTTCTGTTGTACATTTAGATGGTAGATTTTAAATACAAAAGAAAGGATTTGTTTGATTTTAATCTGATCTTGAAGTTTTAATGACCTTAAAATTGTTTACAATTTGTTAATTCACACTATTCTTGTGGAATAAAATAAAACTTTTAGTAAAAATTAAATTTGATATAGTTATTATGAGAAATATGAGGTGCTTATTAACTATAATTATTGCTAAAAGTCTGTTTCTAAACGGTTCAAAAGGACAACAGGATGGCCCTATGGCCCACCAATAATTTATGCGAATTCAATAATTTGACATTGAAATTTATATAGCACCAAAGGGCGGCACCACTCGGTTTGAGGCCAATTTAAAGGTAATATCAGCACAGTATCAGGTAGTATGGACTTTGTTATCCGTCATAAATAGAACAAAGACGTGCATATAGGGTGTAAAAATAAATTTATTTATTGCGGGATTTATTTGGTTTTATAGGTGATTATTATACATTATACAGGGTCAGTTTTAAATAAGTGCAAATATTCTTCAATTCAAAAATAACCGAGTTATTTTCTTAGATTAAAAATTATTTTACTTTGAAAATTTCAAAAAAATATATACCTATTTTTTGCTTAAATTTTGATAACCACTGGATCTTTTCGCGGTTTTCTTTCTTGTAAATTTAATCTACTACCTGTGTTGCCATATTATCAAGAAATTATGTTTTTTAACTAAAAACTAAAATTTCAAAAAAATCAAATTTTCCAAAAAAATTTTCGCCAAAAAAAAACAAAGTCGTGTTTCTGGGATCGAAATACAGGGTGGCGCCTCTCATACGCCGCGGAAGCTCCAAGGAGAACGGTACTTTATATCGAAATGAAATTTTGGCAGCATATGTAGGTTAACTGAAAGCATTTTTTTTAAATATATAGAATTATACAGGATGTCCCCAAAAAAAGTTACACATCAAACTTGTATTTTTTCTAATGGAACACCCTATATATTAATTAATTTTCGGATTCTAGGAAAAAAATAAAGGTGAGTTTTACTAAAGCAGCATATACCTAAACTGTAAGGATTTTGACATATTTAACATTTTGTGAAAATGAAGAGTAAATTTTAAATTTCGATAACAGCTACCTAAATTTTAGTTGACCTTGTATAGCCCGATATTTAATTACAGTAGCCATTATATGTTAAACCAAATTGAAATTTGACCCGAAAAGTTATACAGGGTGAGACAAAATTAATATGGAACATTAGTCACTTTTAAAAGCAAGTTACTCCTTTATTTTAAATGGAACAACTAGTGTATTTTTCCGCTGTTCAATGGGGAATTTATATATCTACAAAATATTATTAAGGTTGCCTACCCTATATTTTCCTAGATATTTTAATTTTTATGATTTTGCGTCAGTAGAATTTAATTATTTAAAAAAAATCTATGGTGGCTCTGTGATATACCTTTTGTTAATTTAACAAAAATTAAAGATTGTATAGTAAAATACTCAACGGTAATAAAAAGATACACGTATATAAACCTATAACGTGACTAAAATTAGCTAGATAAGATCAAATGCTCAAAATGCTTCCTTTCCTGTTAATTGCATAAAATGCTTGTCTTTTCAAAAGGATCTGTTCATTTTAAAAGGCATATGTGGAGTTCTGCCTCGAAAAGCAGCCACAATAATTTCTCTGATGTTGTCGACATTAGTTGGTCAAGTTTTGTAAACACTGTCTTTAACATATCCCCATAAAGAACCCAGACTAGATAAAATCAGGAGCATCTAAGTATTCTATTAATTTGTGAATGCACACTGCATTCACCAACTAACAGAATCATTATCAATTCTTTCTGATGTAGGATAAGTTTGCATTTTCGGCAAATTTCTGAGATTTTTTTTTGTTTTCGCTGACACAAAATGATATAGTCTATAAAATGAATAACTTTGAATTTTGACCGTTATTTTTTATCAACATGGCAAATATATAATCCCTCTATCCAAAAAAAAACCAAAAAGTTACTGATATTCTTTAAAATGAGTGCCTGAACGAATCAGATACGTAACTCTTTTTATTTTCGTGAAATAGAAAAGGAAAATAATAAAACAAGTGACAGTTCTTCCTATTCTTGCAAAAATTAACGCGAAATGTCATAATTGACAAAAGTAAAATGTCATCAGCCTTTGACATTTCTAAATATCAGACCAATGCCGTCTCTAATAGAACAGCCTCGGAGCGAGATTTATGACGTCACGCTAGTTAGATACCACGGATTAATAAATATGTTGTAGAATACATGGAAAACATAATTATTCCTTGTATTTTTGGTTTGTATTTTAAAAATGATATAGTTTACATGAAATATACATAATATACAGTTAATAAATACAATATACCTATTTATAGGAATAAATACTTTGGCAAATAAACTATGAACCAGACAAATGCAGCAAATGTTTTATAATATACAAATAATGAATAGGTACATAAGATAATGGGTAAAATGTAAAATATATTTCAAATTTTGCGGTTTGAAAATCGATCTAATTTAACATGAAAAGCGATGGCTATGAAATAAAGATCGCTGTCATTTTATATGTAAAATTATTCTAAAATTTTTGATTTTCTTGGGATTTAGGTTCGGGAAAAACGCTGATTAAGTTTTCATTTGGTTTTTCATTATTTTTTGGTCATCAGTGTTGTGTCATATGAAAAAAATAGTGTCGAATATAATCCAAAAAATTACATATAAATATATATGTAATTTTGAATAATTATATTTTTCATGTATTCTACAACATAATTAATCCGTAGTATCTAACTAGCGTGACGTCATAAATCTCGCTCCCAGGCTGTTCTATTAGAGACGGCATTGCATCAGCATGGCCGCAAGCTGCCAACCTAATAGAATTTACACTAGAAAAGCCCGCGGGAACTGTCAAATTCAAAGTTATTCGTTTCACAGACTATAACTAGTTGTTAAAATTGGACAAATTAGACAGCTATGTTGAAGTAACGTCAGACATATCACAGCCACCTAGATTTTATCAAATAATAACGATCTACTCAGATCAAATCATGTAAATAAAAATATCTAGAAAAAGAGGGGTAGACAACCTTAATAGTATTTTGAAGACACATGAATTC